CCCCCTCCCAGTCCACACGATAGAAACAGCACGGGCAACGGCCTGCTTAGTGCGGTGAGGCTCGGCGGGGGAAACAAATTCACAAACCAGCGGTTCTTCGCTTTAGGAAAAGCTGCCTGGTTGTTCTCAAAGCTTCATCTTCAAGATTTCTTCAGATTGCACATTCCTGAGTTTCCACTAAACGTATCATTGTAACCCTCCTATGGTATATACACACACTTTTAATCGGGAGGTGTGGTTACTAAAGGGCCGTTCCCCCGCACACCCATTTCCACGAGGTCCCGACGGCAGGCAGGCCCGCCCGCTACCGTCCTGGCTGTCAGCCCAAACCCGTCCCCCAGAGACTCAGCCACAAAGGCCACACCTTGTGAGTGGGCTCGGCCGAGCGGTTCACTACTGCGGGCCCCCTACAGCTGCACTCGAGTCGTGCGGAACCGGAAGGCAGACACTCCAGCTCACAGCCCCCTTTCCTGGGCTGACCTCAGGGCCTCCTGCCAGCAGTTACCCTGGACTTGCCACCCCTCAGCTCCTGGACGAGCCAAAAACACCGGAGGTCACGGCCTCATGGGGATGGGGAGGCCACCAAAGTCAGCGCCCTGGATCCCAGACGGCACTGAGACTGGAGTTAGGCTGGCTCCACTGCCAGTGCTCTGTGACCCCAGGCAAGTGGCAGCACCTCTGAGCCTCAGGAGGACCACCCAAAATGAACATTTCAACGCAAACATCTTTAGAGGCCCTTTCCAGTTCCAATGTGCTACTACTTTGCGAAACGGAGACTCGCTCATCCATCAGCAGAAAGTTAACTTTCTCCTGGCCCGTAAAGTAAAGAATTTCCCACAAGTCACAGGAGTGAAACTCTCCTGGCAGCAGTTTTTCTGACACTTGTCAGTCAACAAATGTCACCAGGCCTTCTATGCACTCAGCACCCTCCAGGATCTGCCAGTCAGAGCCCTGAGACTATCTGAAATAAGTTTTAAATCAGGACTGAGCACAAAACAACAGATGCCCCCAAATACGCAGACCCCTCCTGTGTGCTGGACCTGCCGACCTCCTGCTGCGCCTCCTACTCTGTCTAAGCACGCTGGTCCAAACCCACTAAGCTGGTTTCATAACGCATGATGGGTGTTTCTAACTTGGGGCCACAAGGAAGACCCTCAGCACGCTGGTGCCACGGAGAGCACGGCCAGAGTCAGGCTCCAGCAGGAGGTCAGCGGGAAGGCGGGGACACAGGGGCGGAGGGTGCGGTGAGGGCCCCTGGTCAGGCCTGGCCCCACCATGCCCCCGCCGGGCAGCCACGCTGACGTGAGCCGCCTGCCCCCCCCAGTGGCTCTGGGGCTCCCCAACTTCAGGCCACCTCCTCTGGCCTGTGCTCGGGCTACAGCTCCCAGGAGGCCTCCCAGTCCCAAGGCACCCCTGCTCCCCAGCCTCAGGCCCGTCGACCAGTGCCCAGAGCTCTGCCTGGCCCGGCGCCTGCCGTGTGACAGACAAGCGAGTGGGGAGTGACGTCCAGCTGGCCGGTCAGGAGGGCTCTAGCGCCAGATGCTCTCGGCTGCAGGGTGACCACGAGCTGCTTCCACCTTCCTGGGGGCCCAGGACTCCCCTTTCTGGTGAGTTTCCCTGGAGTCACCCCAAGGGATAAGGATCCCCGCCACCTGGTGCTAATGTGCTCATAAAACCTCAAAGACAGGAAACAGCCGCTGAGGGACATGAGAGGTGAAATCTGGTAGTTGTTTCAAGCACAAAATAGATTTTCTAAGTGCAAAAGCGTTAACTGAAATCCTACGGAGCACCTTCTTAAAAGGCTTCCAAGATTTGGTTCCTACTCTGCGATTTCTGGGTGCCACAAAGATGACCCCAAAAGCAGGATCCCTCCTTCAGAAGCACTAGATCCAAGTCCTTCAACAGGAAGATACGACTCCCACCCGCTGCACTTTGCCAAGATGAAACCTCCCTGTCTCCACTCCCGGGGCCTCCCCCACGCCCTGGGGCCTCTAATCTTTCCACCCCTGGGGGCTGGGGGATCCCGCACTGACGGCTGCCCCGAGGGTCTGCTTCAGATTGGCAGCTTCGAAGTACTTGTACTTCCAGGTCTCCTCGGAAGCACCGGCCCCTCCCATCCAGGGCCAACCCAGGCAGACCCATCCCCAAGCAGAACAGATGCCTGGTTGGGCCAAGGGACCCAGGTTCCGGGAGAGTCTGCAGTGCTGGATCAGAACCAGCCCCCCCAGGCCCCCCGCCCACCCCCGGCTCCACACTCCGCCCTGCATTCCCTCAACCCTGTGGGCTGCAGGGCCGTGGTCACGGGCTCACTGCAGCCCCCAGAGCTGCTCTGTGCCAGCGGCCCGGCTGCAGGGCAGGCCCTGCAGGGAGCGGGTGCGACCAGGCCGGGGAGCGGGGGCGGGCGTGCGGGAAGAGCGCTGGGAGAGCAGCTGGGGGGTGCACACGCTGGCTCAGGGCCCTCCTGCCGCACGTGAGTCTCTCTGACCCCCACGCCCCGAGGCTGAGCAGGGCCCACGTGCAGGGCCCGCCTGGAGCAGGGCTGACAGGCCCGACCCCCAGGGGCATAGCTAGCGATGCCCGCCTGCCAGGGACCCCCAGCAGCACCTCCACACGCAGGGCTGCCGCGCTCGGAGGGCCGGATGGGATTTCAGCAGAGCTCGGCACCGGGAACGCAGGCGCTGAGGTTCGGGTCTCTGCGGACGGTGCAGGTGGAGCTCACTGCCTTTTCCTGAGGAAAATTCAGTAACAGAAACAGCCTGGAGAATACTGCCAATTACCTTAAAAAGCCTTTTGCCGTAACTAAACACGTGTGCATCTACGATGGGCTCACCCAGGGACAGATGGGAAGCAGCCCGCTGCGCTCTCAGTGGGTGAAATCTGTGGCTCTGGTCTCAGGGGGCAGGGGCAGCCCAGGGCCCCGCGGGCAGGCCCCTGGCGCCCAGCTTGCCCCGGCTTCCCTCCAACGGCCGCCGCCAACCCTGCTGCCAGAAACGACAGCTGCGGCGCTTTGCACTTCACTCTAAATTGGGAAAAATTCACCTGGGGGTGCAGGAGGGAGAACACCCACAGGCGCCTTTTCACACCACTGCTTCTCGCTGTGTCTGACAGGTGAGAAAAGCAAGCCACACAGACGACGTGCTTGTCTCCCGGCTTTGACGCTGCCGGTCACGGCTGCACCTGCGGACACCTGCCCACTTCCTGCCACCAGATCCAAGCCACCTCTGCCGAGAGCGCGGCGGGAACCCCACACCCCCAGCTCGGCTGGCACGGGCTGCTGCATGGCCGACCCGGAGCCGCCTGAGCTGAGGTGACGCGGCTGTTCCTCGTTAGGCGGGAGCTGCTGGCAGAGCGCAGGCCTCGAGCGAAGCCAAGTGCCCCTAAGAGCGGAGCCAGCGACCACGGAGGAGGGCGGAGGGGTATCACTCCCCACGAGGCCCCCAAACACCCGACCCCGCTCAGGCAGCAGCCCCGTCTCTTTCACAAACTAGAAGGGGGGAACTTGCGGCCAAGAACCAGAATCGGTCACGGAGCTAGCACGGCTCTTCCCTTTCTGAGTCAGAGGTCCCAGGGAGCTTGTCTTCCAGGAAGGTCGTCCAAGGGAGAGGGTGGGACCACCCGCCCTCCTGGGGGGACCCGGCTATGTCTCCCGCCCAGGCAGCGAGGTGGAAAGAGTGGACCACGATGGGTGATCTTCAAGCAGACATGGACGCAAAACACAGAGCAAGGAGTCCCTTCATGCCCAGCCACCTGCCCGTCTCAGGACGAGGCAGCCGTCAGGGCCGAGACGGAGGCCTCTCCCTCTCCAGGGAGCGTGGGGAGAGCATCCCTCTGGACCAGGGGACAGGCGGTGAGGAAGCCTGAGCCTTTCTGCGAGGTGCCTGGGCCCCGAGAGCACGGGGTGGTGAGGGGTGGATGTGCCTCTGGGGTCCCAGGCAGACAGCCTGAGCCATCTGGATTGGGTACCGTCCCCAAGGGAGAGGAGAGGCTGCCGGCTAGGTCGAGGGGCACACTCTAATCAAAGGCTGGCTTTACAGTGAAAGGTTTGAAAACATCCACAGACCGTGGCAAAGCCAAGAGAGAGAACAAGCCACTTCGAGAGCAAGGCCAATAAAGGGGGAGGCCCTGCCGGAGACCCAGCCCCCCCCAGCACAGCCCGGGCAGCGCGGAGGCCTGACCACCCGACACGTCTCATTGGCTTTGAACGTGAAAAAGGTGAAACAGCTCATCAACAACTTTTTTATGCAGATTACGTGTTGAAATGACAATGTTTCTGGATACTGGGTCTAATAGATTATATCAATAAAATGAATTTCATGTTTTATCTTATTTTTAAATTGTTTTAACTTTCAAAAATGTGACTTATTGGAAGATTATAAGTTACATATGTGGCTTGAATTATGGTTTCATCGGACAGCACGGACTTAGAAATCTGGACTCTCATGGTGGCTTGGTGGCTCACCTGATGTCTAGCTGGTGGCAGCTGAGGCAAGCTGCCTGGACTCGGATTTCGTTCTGAAATCAGCCCCACTTCCTTCGCTGTTAAAGAAGAGCTGAAATGCCGTCCACACCCACTAGGAGGCTGGCCGCCTCCTCTGGCTGCTGCCCCGTGGCCGAGCGGGTTGTGCACTGCACGAGGACAGCACGTCGAGGGAGAAGGCCCTGCTCACGCAGCACGTGAGTAGATCCGTGGATTTGTTCTTAGAGATCCTGGCACTTGGCAGAAGGTGTCTAGGCCCAGCAAAGTGAGTAGTTTACAATGACTTTGCAACAGGAGGAACGAAGCATCTCGAGGGGGCGCTTTTTCTCATGTGTGAGAAAACTAGCTGGGCTCCGGTCATCCCTCCCCGAACTGCGGCCACCGCTTTGCTGGCTTGGCCTCCCTCTGTGTCACGCGCCTGGTGCCTGCACCCGAGCCTTAATTTACAAAACGGGATAGGCGTCTGGTGCCCAAGAGGGTCAACAACCAGCTGGGCCTGGGCCGCCCAGGGTGGGCCACTTACCCTTTCGCTTCTCCTCTCGTCGGGTCTACCTCCTGCACTGGTGGGGCTGGGTGCCGACCAGCCGCCGGCAGGGCCCGCTCCGGCCTCCCCGTGGAGGTGGACGGCGCTGACGTTAGGAGGAGTGACGGCCGAGGCTGCCGACGAGAGCGGGATGGCTGGCCGGGGGCTGTGCTGTGGGGACCCGATGGCGGGCAGGCTCTGGGCGCGCAGGGGCGACACTGCGGCGGTGGGCCGGCCCTGCACCTGGGCCGGGTGGGCAGCTGGGAGAGAGGAGCGGAGAGAGCAGGGGGAGGTGAGTCTGCAGCCGGCAGCGTGGGGGCCACGGCCCGCCCTCCCGCCCACACCTCTGCTGAGTCTCCAGCCCCAGCCGCAGCCGCAGGCAGGGCAAGGAGGCCTCTGGGCAGCCGGCTGCCCCGCCGCACCAGGAGCCGGGAGGCGGCCTCTGAGGCTGCCGCAGACGAGGCCCTTCCCAGTTTCTCCGGTCTTTGAACTGGTGTTCTATGCTGTAAGGAACCAGTACGCTCAGGAGGGTTTCAGAACCACCCTGTTCGGCCCTTCGTAGACCTGAAGCCCGTGCAGGAGCCCAGAAGAGGCCCAGGGAGGCCCTGGGCTGCCGGGCTCCGCTGCGCGTGAGAGGACCTCTGTGGACAGCGCCGCCCCGGTCGGCCTCCACCCGCAAGTGGAGCGGCCCAGCCCTTGGCCGCCGCGCCCGCTGCTCCAGCTGGCAGAGTGGGGGCGGTTGTGTGAGGATCCACGGACCGATGGCTCACCGTCTGCCTCCCCACTCCAGCGTAAGCTCCACGGGTGGGACTTTCGTGACTAATGCACTAACGTGTTCCAAACAACTGGAACAGTGCCTGGCATGTAGTACATGCTTAATAAAATTCGTTCGGAATGAACGAGTCTTTGAGAAAGGAGAACCCTGGCTAAAACATCTCTACAGATTTCCCAGAACTGAACGGCTGGAGAAGAAAACAATACTCCATGAGAGAGAGGCATGGCTCACAGCACAGACTGGTGGCAGGGTCGGAATCCACGGCCCTTTGGTACAATTCACCCTCAACTTCACCCGCCCAGCAGGACCCAGACACACGCGGCCGACCCGTCGCCCTGCTGGGCCTGCTGGTCAGCGACGTCAAAGCAGGCGTGGGCTGCTTGAGGACGAGCGTGGACACGCCGTTACTCCCAGTCTCTGCCCCTCCTCTCCTCTCTATCCCATTGTTTCAGTAGCTCTGGAGCCCCCAGATCCCGCTACCCCGCACGGGTCCACTCTGCCTCCCAGGACCAAGGTCCAGTGGTGCTTTAAAGAGAGCAGGTGAATGAGTAAGTGACCTACCTTATCGTCCACTCTGTCCTTGCCTTACTCTCAGGCTATCACTTCCCACTTCATGGATGGAACGAACGCTGGAGACTCCCCCAGCGTCAGGGCAACCTCTGTCCAGACCCAGCCCCTCAGCCTCCAGGGTGCAGGGTCCCACGGGGCGACCCTTCACCCTCACTGACACCTCCCGCACCCCGTCTCTCCTGTCCTCGACTCCGCCCCTCCTATAACTGACTAACCCCCTCCTGTCTACCGGCACCTCCTTTCCTGCTGCCTTGACCCCTAGGTGCTCGGAACAGTGTCCACATGGCCCTTCCTTCCTTGTCACTCAACTCTCTGACGGGCCTGTGTTTGGTGTCTGCTTGTCCTCTGAGGCTTCACAGTTACGGCAAGTTCAGGTTTGCATTTGTGGCTGTGATTCCGACTCACACGAGGGCCCATCTTCCGTCTGGGGGACCCCGCCGTGATCATCCTCGAGGATTCTCTCTCCCAGCCTCTGCTCTCTGCTTCTGAAAGTCGTGTTAGAAGTCGTCTGAAGCTCGGCGTCCACCCCGTGTATACTTTCTTCTTGCTTCGCCTCTGCTCCATCTCTGGACTAGCTCCTCTGTGGGGCTTCCGGTGTGGCCAAGTCCATCTCAGCTGTGTCCAGTCCAAAGCGTGTGTCCCCCACAGAGGTTTCGTATTTAAATATATGTTTCCTTTCCAAAGTTTCAAGTTGCTTCTGTCCTATCCAGTGGTTTCTGATTCACATCCATCTACCTGCTGTTTTAATTTTCTTCTTCATAATACTATTTTTTCTTCCTTTTGGTGGGATGGACATTATTCCTTCTTTTTCCTCTTGGAGGAGCTGAAATGTGCCGATTTCAAAGCCTTCTTAGGTTCTCCTGCCCGTTCTTCAGGCTGCTGGCCTCTGTGATGCAGCACTTTCCCACGAACTGAGTGCAGGCTCGCCCTGAGCGTTGAGTGTCTCGCTGCCCTGTTTCCTCTCCTTTATCCCCTCCTGCAGTTTTGTTGCTGCTTCTGCCTGGTCTCTGGGACCTCCCCTCAGAACCAGGTGTAATCGGGTGGCTTGAGTCTGGTCCTGCAGGAAAGGTGAAGATCTAGCCCTCAGGCCAGAGCCAGACTCCAACTCCAGGTGGGGCTCCATTCCCTCCCTCATCCCAGGCAGGGGCTCAGTTCTGACCACTCCCAGGAGGGGGCTCAGCCCTTAGACCAGTGCACCTGGCCTGGATCCCTGACGCCCTCCAGAGGCTGCCTGTCCGTGTTCTCCTGCAGGAGGGGAAAGCTGGCCACCACCACCTGCTTCATCCCGGAACCCAGGAGGCCAGCGTATCAACTCTCTTGTGTTCCATTCGTTTACATCCAGAGTATCAAGAACCAACCAACCTCTCTGTGTTCAGAGCAGAGGGGGGTGGGATTTCCACATGAATCACTCTCCCAGGCTTCCAGGAGTCCTCCACTCACTTCTGTCTCCTGAAATACGGTTTCTCACCCCATCGTTCCATCAAATGTATCTGGACAAGATCACTTACGACTCCCCTGTCACCAAACTTAATGGACACTTTTCTGTTTTCAGAAAAAGTATCTATTAATCTAGCCATTTGTCTTCACACCAGTATCACACTGATTACTGTGGCTTTTTAATATGTCTTGAAATCAGTGTTAAGCTTTCCAACTTTTTCTTTTTAAGGTTGTTTTGACTATTCTAGGTCCTCTGCATGCCTGTATGAATCTGGGAACCAGATTGTCAATTTCTACCAAAAAGTTGGGTGAGATCTTGATTGGTATTCCATGGAAGCTATAGGTCAGTTTTTGGCGAATAAACACCTTAACAATACTGCTTTCTCACTCCTGAATAAAGTATACTTCTCTACTTATTGAAGACTTCTTTCTTTCTTTACTTTGCAATATTTTGGAGTGTTCATTGTGCTGGTCTTACTCATCTTTTGTCAGATTTATTCCTAAGTAATTTATATTTTTGATGCTATTAAAATTGGTATCATTTTTTAAATGTCAATTTCCAATTACTCATTGCTGGTGTAGAGAAACAAAACTGACTTTTGTATATTGATCTTGTATCCTGTAACCTTGCTGAAACTAATTCACTGTCTCTAAAAAAGTCTTTGTCTGTGTCTGAGTGTGTGTGACTGTGGATTCCTTAAGGTTCTCTATGTACAAGTTCACGTCATCTCAGACACAGATGGTCTTCCTCTTTCCTCTCCCATCTCCACACCTCTTCCTCTGCCTTGACTAACTGCTCTGGCTAGAACTTAACAGCACAATGTTGAATAGAACTGGTAAGAATGGACATCCCTAACTGGACCCTGATCCTGGGGAAAGCTTTCAGTTTTGGGGTTTTTCTTAATTAATTTTATGTATTTTTGGCTGTGTTTGGTCTTCGTTGCTGCACCTGGGCTTCCTCTAGTTGCGGCGAGCTGTGGCTTCTCTTGTTGCAGAGCACAGGCTCTAGGTGCGCGGGCTTCAGTAGTTGTGGCGCATGGGCTTAGTTGCTCTGCGGTGGCATGTGGGATCTTCCCAGACCAGGGCTCAAACCGGTGTCCCCTGCATTGGCAGGTGGATTCTTAATCTCTGTGCCACCAGGGAAGTCCCAGCTTTTAGTTTCTCACCATTAAGTCTGAGGTTAGCTGTGGGTTTTCACAGATACCCTTTATCAGGCTGAAAAGCTCACTTCTCTTTTCTCATTTTCTGAGAGTTTTAATGTGCAGACGTGGACAGCGCAGCAAAAAAACTTGAGTCATTTGACGCACATCTTTGTTCTGAATCCTACTCTAATTTATGTTGGATTTTGTCAAAATTTTTTTCCACATCTACTGAAATGATCATGTTATGTTCATTTTTGAGTTTGTTAATACACTGAATTGTATTGACTGTCAAACATTAATCAAAGCTTAAGTTCCTGGGATAAACTCTACTTGATCAGGATGTATTATCCTTTTTACTTATCGCTGTATTTGACTTGCTAAAATTTTGCTGAGAATTTTTACACCTATGTTTTGAGTGATATTGGTCTGTAGTTTTACTTTTTAATGTCTTTGCCTGGTTTTGTTATGAGGGTAATGCTGGCTTCATAGAAAGAGTCAGGAAGCATTCTCTCTTCTTTTCAATTTTCTGGAAGAGTTTCCCTAGAATTGTTATAATTTCTTCCTTAACCAATAGGTATAATTCATCAATACAGCCACTTAGGCCTGCAGTTTTCTTTGTGAAAGGTTTTAAACTAATTCAATTTCTTTAATAAATAGAGGTCTATCCAGGTTTTTTAGTTCACCTTAAGTTATCAATTTGTGTCTTTTAAGAAATATATCCATTCTAATTTGTTAAGTTTATTGGCATAAAGTTTTTTAAAATAATAATCCCTTATCATTCTGTAGAATCTGCAGTGATGTCAGTTTTATTATCCGTGGTATTGATAATTTGTGTATCTCTCTTTATTCTTTATCCAGCTGTCTAGAGGTTTATCAGTTCTTAATCAGTTTGGATCCTGACTCCGTCCATCACCTGTTAGTCAGGCAGCCTCAGGCAGGTCACTTCATACTTCTGAACCTATTTTCTCTTTTGTAAAACAAAGAAAATAGAATCTAACCTGATGGGTTGTTTTTAGTATTTAAGATTGTAGTCTGTGTGCGACGCACACATCTCACTTAGGGGCAACAGCTCAGTATTCACTAATTCAGTGCTCATGGAAACCTTACAGAACACCATAAAACCACAGAGACTGCGAGTAATGGGATCAACTGTGTGGCCTTCTAATTTTAACTGATTTATGGTTTTATATTTAAAGTATTAAAATCTGTTTTCTGTTCACAGCATATGGTTGGGCCTTGTCTTTTTTTTTCGTAACAAGCTCTGAATTCTCCTTGAGGCTATTCAGATGATTCGTATTTAATGTGATTATTTATATGATTAGGTATAAACCTACAT